CGGTGGATAATGCTATACATTTTTCTATCACTTATCCACCGGATAGCGATTTATCTATTGGACAAAGTTATTCGTCCTTTATACAACTAAGCCATGATGTATGTCCACAAAAGCAAAACTAAATTTACCTTGATACAGCACCAAGTAAATATCCTTCACAGACTGTCTAAATAACAATAAAACAAAACAAATTTCATTACACCTAGAACCTGGTAAAAAAGTAATCATGGTATCAAAACACTGTTAAACAAAAGAGAGGTGATGCCCATAAAATTATTTCTTTCAGCTACATTCTGGGCTCAACACTTACTTCTCAACTTACTAGCGAAGTGGTTCCTGATAACTTAGATGTTACAACAATTTCAGTTCGTTTACTAGCCAAACTGGACAGTAGAAATCAAATACTTCTAGCCAAAACTGAATTTCTACTAGTCTGTGGCTAGTTGGCTACCATTACTGTCAAGCCCTGTACACTGCGCACTTATCAGCAGTCAATGTGTCAACAAAAATGAAATTGCATAAAGTAACAGTCAACACAAAATCTACCAAATCGCTCAAATTCGCCATTTAGAACCACAGAAACGACAATACACAGCAAGTGAGGTAGGTTTACATTTATTTGGAGCCTTAACAAGGACATTCCTTGATATAAGTTTACGATAGTACGACTCTTCGATATTCTCCTATACATTTATATTTCGAACAAACGACCAGACATCCACTTATGTGGACCAGCCCCTGTGAGATCACAAACATCAATAAGAGGAGAGATCAATGACATGGGAGGATTGATTGTCCAATAGGTTACTTTAGGGGGGGGTTCACCTCTTTTAGAGCTCATTGATTATAGATACTTGAATTAAGTGTTTATCACATAAACGATGTAGAAAGTACTTACAAAAATTATGAGAAAGATCATGTTAGTTGGAAATTGCCGCCTAAAATAAGATCAAACAAGTCAACATCTGCTAACATTAGTAACTGAGAAGGTAAAAAAAGTTGTTCATTGATCTTAAGAGCAACTCCTTTCTTTGCAGCTCTTAGAAATTTACAATTTTCACTGGCAGTGATTTCCTGTAAGTCATAATAGAAAATACTCAATAACAACTAGTGAAACTAAAAAAAAGGACATAGACATGTCATGAGACAACCTGTAATATATTGTAAAAACCCACAGATAAGCTGCACCTTTTTTCCTAACATATCCTGCTTGAACTAGTTTTGTTTTAATCTCCAAACAAACCTATGGAAAATAAAGGGTGGCTGGTAGCTGATCAAATGAAGATGCCCTCGAACCTCACGTCTTCAAAAATGTAAATTCTCATGAAAACTGGATACAGATGTAGGAGCACATTC